CTTGCTGCTCCTGCCTGACTCAATAATGCGTCTACCCTTACCTCTGTTATCAAGGTGACTCGTCACCCTGTTTTGGCATTCTGACCAAACTAAACATGGACTAAGGGCAGGAGAAAAATTGGAGTCTGCTCAGAAAAAAAAAACTCAAAAAATTTAATAAACGCAGTAACAGACACTTGTTTTTTAAGTTGAACAACTAAAACTTGAAATACTTCCAAAAGTTTAACCCAATGTGGAAAATCACTTAATATCTTTGCTTTTATTACTTTGTCTCCTTGAATTTAAATTGTCGCAATCACGCTTTCAAATGCTGTTGATGGTAAAGTCATGGTTGATAAAGGGCACCCCTGCAGGTTTCAAACCTAACATGAAAGAAAGTAAGTTTACCGTCACTGGGAACTAAGCCCCAATTTCTCTAGGTTCTGTATCACTTTGACTGTAAACCACAGCACAGTAGCTGCACTTCTGTGATGGGTTCAGAACAAATAAACATCTATTTCCTGTTTTTACATTTGGCTTTGTTGCATTAGATCTAACCAAACAATAAAGGGGAGATTAACAACACATGGCTTCTACTCAGCATAGTTAATTTTGTTTTTATATTTCAGAAATGCATGCAAGAAAATCAGTATGACGTGAAAGTTTGGTTGGTCCTTATTGTAGATTAAAGATGCACCAATATGAAAATCTGGGTTATATCTTTGAAGTTATTTATTGCTGGTAGCTGTTTCACAATTATATGCATTTTACTACAGTTAAGATAAAATAATCTCCCTCGCCAAAACAGCCAGATAGCAATAAGTATGACTGTGATTTTTGTGATGTAGATAATCCATACAAAGCCATGTGATTTATCAAATAAAATGGAATCTAGTACAAAATATAAGAGGAATCACCCATTTGGGCAAGATGCAGTAATATGTCAAGTATTTTGTCCACTGCCAACTCCCGTATTCACCATTACTTGGTTACGCAGTTCAAGCTCAGCTCAGCCATGGCATAGAGGCAAGCAGAGACACTAAAGTCCTCCAAATAAACTTTAAGAAGATAAACGTAGCACAAAGTTAAGGACAGATGATACGTTTATTTTTGCCTCTGGAGGGCAATTTTATGCAGGTTTTGTCAGCAAAGAGCACCTGTACGTGTAAGAATACCTGAGATGAACACTTGCAGTCAGAATCGCATCAGAAATGGGGAGTAGTGGCTTGCATAAGAACCTGCTAGCTTTTCAGCGTTCATATGAATCAGCACAACCAAGGTGCACGTTTATTTTGCACATTCAACTGGGTTTTTGTGCTTTAAAAAAAGACAGGTAAATATTGCTTTTAATACCCCTGACAGTTGGAAGAGGTAAAAATAAGAATTGTTCCTACTAATAGCAATGTGTGGAAAAAGTTTTTTTTTATGAGACATTTTTGTATTCATTTGTAAAACACTTTTACAAATAGGATATTTTATGTGGGATTATGTCTGGGAGACAAACACTGTTTTTTTGTTCTATAAAAAAGGACAGATAAATACCTTATAATTTGCAAAACCCTGTAATGTTCTCCTCAACCAAAGCATTTTTTTCTTTTTTGATAGTGAAACAACAGTCACTACATCTTGAATTCTGTAGCTATTCATTTGCTACATATTTTTATGTCATCTGATAACTGCATACTTTTAAGGTTAATAAATATGTTTAGAATGAAAATGTGGAAGTGTGTAAAAAGATATAGAAAATATAATATATAGAAAATAGTAACAGAAGAATTTAGAAAAATAAAAATTGTAATGTGGAATTTAGAAAAAAAGGAAACGGATTTCATATGACCCTCAACGAGATACAATAAATAAGCAGTGATTAATACAAGTTTTATTGATTGTATCAATATTTGTACGTAAAAAAAAAAAAAAGACCCTCAGCCTATATTGGTTAATGCCCAGGGTCCAAAATTAACTTTTTGACTCACCGGACGAGTGGACAAGAAGATATAATTAGTTACTGGCCAGAAAAGAACAAATAATTTGCTCTCATATATTTTTAAGGTACGTGTTGGTTCACTATAGCATTATGTTAAATGCAACAAAAGTTACAGTAAAAGGAAATGGAGTTTTATTAAATAAACTTGTAATATAGAATTTCATTCGATTTGATTCAAAAAGGGGCAAATGCAAATACTTTCAAGTACTAAAGGAAACGAGGTACGCAAGCAAAATAGGTTTAGCACCACCGCAGCACAGGAGTCAGAATTGCGTCCTGGAGCAAATGGATAAACATAAATATGAATCGATACTCTTGGTGTCGATACATTGGATCGTCTTCTGTTGGATTGATGCATCAATACAAAACGATTATTATTTACACCCCTTGGCCTGAGATATGGACATCCAGCAAATATGGCAGTTACCTTGTTTGTGTTCACGGATGCTCTCCAGTTTAGTAGCCAGTGACAAATGAATCATCTTTGTTCTCTTCTGCATATTTCATGCACCCTGAGTAGCTCATTAGCTTAGCATCACTGCCAGGAGTTGTTGATAAATGATTGGGTGTTGTTGGTGTGCTCTCTGTACACACGTCTTTCCATTAGCATGAGGAACAGACAGCAGAGGAATAAAATGACAAAGGGAAGACTTACCAGAATAAAAGCTGAAAGGACGTGAATGAAGCGCAACTGTGATCCAAACATTTACTCACCTTGTGGCGAATGGCACTCTGGCATTAACTTGCCAAATTAAACATTTAGTCACATGTGGCGAGTGGCAGTGTTAATTTCAGACGTTGTTGCCTATATTATAGCTTCTACCTACTCTTGTTCTATTACAACATTAAACTCATGTAAGGCAACCTGCAAAGCCTGAATACCTTGTCTGTGTGTGAGAGGTAACACGTAGATGCAAATAGGGTTAAACACTCCAGTCTGGCTGTAGTTTATGCCTGAAAAAAAAAATCCAGTTTAATAGAAATTTACATAAACGGTATGCATGTAGTGTACTGTTTTATCTGCTGCTGTGTAAACACACAACTTGGCCTCTCTTGTGGCTTTCTGTTTATTGATAGTCATACACAGAGAGTAGTTTGTTGAACTCTGACCCTATTTGCAGGTGACTGCAGGATAGTAGTCTGTGTGTGAATTTCCCCTCTAGCCTCCTACTAACAGCCTAGATCTAATGGCCTCTGACACTCTGCTATGAAGAGAGCGAGGGACATGAAGTATTTAAGTGTGTTTGAGCTCTGGAAGAAATTCTAGTTAGTTCTTCCATCTTACATCTAGTTTTGCTTTGATTACGTTGCCAAAAAAAGGCAGTTAAGGTCTCTGATTTGGTGAACTGGATGAACTAACTGCAGACAGGAGTTCAACTGTGGGGCCACTGTAGCTAAAGAACATTGTCCCGATATCGTATTTGCATCCCAACAGCTTGATACCAAGGCTTTGATTCAAAAGGAATTGGGACTTGATCTTAATTTAAAAAATACCTAATGCTGAAAATAACTCTGAGCTCAGTACATGTGCTCGTGTTTGGAGAAAATTGTTTGAAGATACAACTTTCTGTTTAGTTTATAAAAGGGGCAATAAATCTCCTTTGCCTTTTTCTTTTTCTCTGTCATCCTCTGTGAAAAGGTCACAATTCACTGTCCTGCTTCCTCTTCATCTTTTATGATAAACTATCATTGCTCTTCTTTCAACAAGGTTGTCCCCTTGCTCTACAGGGCTTCCTTTTTTATCCTTCAAGGTAGACTACAAAAATGTTAAACCCGATATCAACACCCAGGAATATTTCTGATACACCATGCCATGGAAGAAAAAATAAATAAAAATAAATAAAAAATATCTTCTTCTTTTTTTTTCTTCAACAATTTTCTATCACGAGAAAAATATATACATTTTTTTTTCAATACGGAAAGCTTTCTTAGCAGAATCACAGAAATAAATTCTATAGATAACCTATTCTATATAGATAACCCAAATATAATCCATCTTTTTAGATTGTCTAATATATATTTTATTTAATGTGCATATTATTCATATTATTATTCAAATCAACAATTAGCTATATCACAAATATGTTAATGACACTTTTCTTTAGTATTAACTCCATGTCAAATTAGAATTGCATCTGGATGCAGCGTTTGAGTTATCTAAACACATTTAAGTAACCAGAAGACAAGAAAATACCCTGATTCTGTTTCAGTGTTTGAATAATAATTGTCTTAAACATAGGGAACTGTAAAATAGGAGTACAACTGATGATTTTTTTGCAAATTGATTAATCTGTTGAAAATTTCTTTCGAATAATAATCGGATAGCAAAAGGTTCCTTAAAGAAGATTACTTTAAGAAAGTAAACCAGGTGAAACTAAAACTTTTCTACTTGAGCTCTGGATGGAGCATATTGACAGACGAAAAAGATTTTTTTTTATTTTTTGTTAATTTTTTTTTTAAATCTAGGATACAAAATGTTTATATAGTTTTTTTTTTTTGTTTTTTTATATAATTACTGCCCTAAGTGGGCTGCTCTGTCAGCTAAAGACATGTTTTACAGTCTCTACAGTTGACTACTAGTATGACAATTATTTCAATAATCAATTAATCACAATGTTTGTTTCAGCCTAACTCTCAACCACTTTTAAAAGTGGAACATTTCTTTACTTTGCAGTAGCTAACTAATCTTTTGCTCATACTTTTTTCTAATCTTCAACTTGAATCCAGATTCTGATCATAATGGAGTAATGTGTGAATGGCATCTTTAATCATGTTTGAGTTTTAAGGTTTTCCTCAGAGAATTAAAATAAACCATAGTGATTTTTGCCCTTGTTATTTCACATTGTGGTTTATATAGTGTGTCCTTCACAGTAGATAGAAATGTCTTTTATCTATTCCAGATTTCAACTATGTTATAAATTACCTTTAACAGTTTTTTGAACTTGGTGTTTTTATAACACCATATTGTTCTGTTTCTGAACAATAGCCAAAGTCTCACCCTGATGCTAATACTGGTTCTCTCTCCTCTCTGCAGCTCCACCGCCAAGCAGATACAACAGGAGAGTGTCAGGTAAGAAGTATGGTTGTGAATTCAATTACATGTACACATAAGTGTGTTTCTGTGTATACATGTGGGTTTGACGTCATGGCCCTCGGGGGTAATCCCCCTAGTGATGGCATTGCGTACATCTTTGCCTCACTGACCCGCCCGCATTATATTTCTGTATTTTGGTGTGCGTTGAATCAAACAGTGTTTTGGAATTGTGTTACTTATCAGTGTTTGTTTAATTTCTGCACCGCTGTTGTAAGTTGTTTGGGGTTTTAGTGTATTGGCATTATCTTGGTCCGTGTTGGTGTCTGTGGCCTTGTGTGGAGAGCACATTTGTTTTCTCACGCTCCGCTCTGCCCCTTTAATGTTTACATATGAGTGATTAAATGTCGTCAGCCGTCACACAGCACTGCACTTTAATTAGGCTGTGGGTGTGTCTGTGTGTCGGCTGATGTCTATCGTTTCTGAAGCTTTACTGTCGAGGTTTCACCAGCTTTCTTATTAACATTTGATGCTGCTGGTGTCTTGCAGGTTTTTTATGTTATGTTTCTCAATTTTAATTGTTTTAGACATCTTTGTTGCCATAACATAATTATTGTTATTAAAAAGGGACAATATTGACTAGTGTTTTTTGGGGATGTATTTTTTTTATTATTATTTTTTGTTATATTGCAAGAGATTCTTTTTAGACTCTGATTAAAATACTGCACTGAAAGGTAAATATTTTTTTATTTTTTAAAAGCACACTTCTGATCTTTTTTTTTCCTCCCCAAGAACTCAAATCAGAAATTCTTCCATCAGAAAAAATATGAATGTCTTCAATAGTTAATAATTTAGATAAGTGGGTAATGGGGGTTTAGCTTTATTTAAAATGTGCTAAAAGACTAATTTTTAGATTTTGATTGTTTATTGATCCAATTGTTTGTATTGAAGAGAATAGTTTGCTAAGTAGAGCAGCCGTCCTTGTTGAACATAAAGTACAGAATACAGCTGACAAACAGGGTTTCATTGTTTTCATGGCCTTGAATGCTTTCTTGTTCAGAGTCCATTGTTGCAGGACTTTACTTGTGAGTGGAAAGTGATCAGTTCTGCTTCCATGCTTTGAACCACATGCCTGCTGAAACACTCCCCTCCCTAGTGATGGGCTACAAACCCACTTTGAGCGTAAAATCACCACCTAAACGGCTGGAGTGGGATCTAATGTCTTATGATCATTAAATGACGCGTGATCAAACGTTGGATGTCTCTGTAATAAAAAAAAAAATTGTCACACTTAAACATTTAATCATATTATAATTATTATATATAAGTGCAATTAGTCGTCCCAGCCTCATTTTAAAACAGCTTATCAGCATATTAAGTATTATTGAAGTGTTTGAAATTAAGTCAGAGGAAATGAAAAGGTAGTAGGAGGCTATATAAAGGAAACTGCTGTCTATGAAAGGTTGAGCATAAACATGGGTTAATTTAATTTAGGAAGCTATTATATCCTCTTAAAATCATCAAAAACTTTGTCTCTAACCATATCATTCTCTGCACTCAAAGTTAGTCTTGAATAAACATTCATCTTGCTCCTGGAAAAAAAAATGTTTTCATGTAAAATATCGAGCTCAAGTTGTAATGTTAGCATTTTTACTCTGTTTTATAGGCTATTTATACAATTTTCTATAGCAATTTAGCTCTCAAGTGATTTACTTAATATCCATACATACTATGTCTGCTTGCTCTGTTTTATCAATAAATAAAATATTTCCATATCCTCTCGTCTTCCTACAGTAGTTCTCAGAGTTGAATTAACATCTAAAATAAGTGTTAACAGGTTAGTGCCTAAATATTGGAGAAGGAAGTTCATCCACAAGCTTCTTTTTTAGAAGGGCAGCCTGCAGGAAGCATTGATATATGCCAAGTGATGTATATTAACCTAAAGAATCACTTTAATATCTCAAATTAAACTAATACTTGGATCAAAACTTAAGCAGCCTTGCTTTGAAGTCGTTTTTGATAAGAATATACTTTTTGCTGCGGAAGTGAACTGCTTTTTGTTTCTAGTGCAGGGGGAGTGGCGGCAGGCTGAGATTGGCTGAGGATGTGCCGGTAGGCAGGTGTTAAGCACACAGATTGACACCAACAACAAAAGTGATACGAGGCGATGGCGAAGAGCCTAAAAAATTTCACAATGCCTTTTTCAAGCTGGAATCATTTATTCTGTGTTACATTTGCTTAAGTTAAGGGCCTCCTGAGATTTGCGTATTATGTCTAAAAACAGAATTTTTTTCACACTGTTTACAAAAAGTTCTAATATATTGAAGCAACTTGCATTGTGTCGCTCTTCCACAACACTGACTTACATCTGGATGCCTTAGCTTTGCAATACATATCATTATACCTACGTAGTGTTATACTAAAGTCATTGCATGGTATCCTCTTATAGTTTACTTTTATAACCACAGATCCACTGGAGGTGCAGTGTACCCGGGTATTTAATGATGTTACTACTAAGTTTAATCATGTTACTAATCTTCATTGCTTGGAAAGCATAATTTGTCTGTGTTATACCCATTTGAAATCCAGTTTAGGCCCATAAAAATAAAGCTCTGAAATATCTAGTTTGTTTTATCTGTTATTGTTAACGTAAAACCTAATTAATATCCACATAAAGATATTGCGACTGATAGTGTCTTCACTCACTCCTTCCAGCACACACGCTATATTTCTGTAGATGAGCTAAGTGTTTTCAGATATTTAATCATCTCAGTTAATTAGTTATTATTAGGTATATTCTGTTTGATAATGGATCTCAGAAAATAATTATAATTAAAGTAACAATAACTGGAAAGTCATCCAAATTCCTTGAAATTAAAAATGACAAGGAACTGAATTTTTACTTTACCTAGTTATTTTTTTTATTTTTTGGGATTAGTAGATGTCAGTTTCTTCTATAGGACAGACCTCACTACATAATATTTATTTCTCCATGCATCAATGACCTTTTTTAAATTAATAAATCCTTAACTAGCTCTGGTAGAAGATAATGAAACACTTTCAGGATAATTAGTGTCTTTGATTTGTCACTCAAGGAGCAGCTTTTATACACAAACTGTGAAGTTCAGTGCACTAGTATCCAACATCATGAGACAGTAATTATTGCTCTTTTCCTCGGGGTGAATTGGTGTCGATTCGCTGCTATATTTTAGAGCAGATCCCTGTGAAAATTGGGCACAACCTGCAGATTTTTAGTTGCCTGCAGCTTGTTTTAACCAAGAAGGAAGGAAGTCTGATGTCATCGCCCTGGTTTGCGTTTTGTAGTTTGGAAATGAGAATAACTGACTCTGCTCTTCAGGCTGCAGGATGGTCGGCCATCCAGGTCACAGGTGACGACTTCTGCCTCAGCAAAGCCAGACATTTTAATTACCCTCAGAGGATCTGCGCTCAGTTTATTTGAAAGATCTAATTGTCCTTTAGAAAAAGAAATAAGCTTACAGCTTAACTACCATTTTCCACCTCTTTAGCTTTTTTCCTGTCCAGTCCCATTCTTTTCAAACCCATTAACTGCTCATTCCCAGTGTAGATGAACTGCTTGCCAGTCACTTAGCAACCAGACGCACTGTCTGTCAATGAAGTTTAACATAAATCAACAAACCTCTTGATTTTTTTTGGAATTATGAGAAATGGCTACTGCATGCAATAACACTAAAAGTCCTCCTTATGTTTAAAAAAAAAATCATTTTTCTTTTTTAATTTATTACAGAGGAGAGCTCTTGTATGTAAAGACAATAAAGAAATAAATTAATATGAATACCTTTCTTCAAAATCAATGGTGTATTGATATTTGATAGCTGATAAGTTTAGTCTTTAGCTATTAGAATGAATCTTAGACACTTTTTTATTAAAAGCCAAATATGAGCTGCAGAAGTTTCCTCCATATAGCAGTAATTATGTAAACTAACAGGAAAAGATTAAATCCAGTTGTTTAACTGCCCTATAGCCGTTAATGTTTATTGCTCCTATAAGAATAATTAACAGACATCTAGGAGCCTAAAATAACAGAAATGTTTCTTTCTAAAGATCCCATGGTAAAAAAATCTACATTAAAACTCCCAAACAAAAACGTTTTGTGAGGGAGACTTTAAACCAACCCGCCGTCTTTTCAGAGACTTGGAACAAAAAGACGGAAGTGCCTCTAATTTAGTCTTATTTTACCCCCCAGATTTTTCACACCACAAACACAAATGTATGCAGGAAAGGCTGCAGTTGCTCACTGGGTCATCAGGAGTTACGATTTTTTTCCTCAGCAGCTATTAAGTTCACCATGGCAACCTTTACTTCCACCCGGAGCACTCGGCTGCTGTTGAAACTGATTCTATTCACAGGCAGTCAATTTAGTTTAACCTAAAAAGCAACTTGGAAAGAACCAGACCAGCTTTTCCTTTTAGCAGTTGGTGACAGACGAGAAGGGCGGATGTTGGTTTAAAATCATCTTGAAAATATAATGTTGATGGATTCTTCTTGTAAGGGGAAAAAGACAGCTCTACCTAGAGGTGGCCAAACATTTTGGGCTTATCTTCATTCTTTTGTTTATATAAAGTTTCTATTTGGATGCAGATTTCAGTACATGCTGATCTGTTTAAGCCCCTGTCACACCTTGATGATTTAGCCAGAGTATGCCTGACATCCCAGAATCTCCTAAAACTCTGGCATGCATTGAACTTTCTATGTATTTTTTTTTTATTTTGGGAGTATTCATACCAGTCCATAACTTATTTCCAACGACAGCCTAACTTATGCATAACGCACAGCAGCGTAATGCCCATGAAATGTCACAAGCCAGTGTCCTGAGGGGGGCAGCAATTCACCCGGAGGCGCCCGGCCTGCATAAAAAGATTTACTTGATCGCAGTATTAACCTAGCATCTGTTTACCGCCTGCCAAAAAATGTATAAATATAAAGAAAAAAGAACCTTTGGAGTCGAAGCTGATTCACCGTCATGTCTGCTAGGAAGTTTGTTGGTCTTGGCCGTGTGCGTGAATGCAGGGAGGATCCATCACAGTCACCTTCTCGTTTACCCTATGATGGGGATGAAGCCTGGAGGAGAACAGAGAGTTTCCTCCTGTGCACCCACTTTTATACCAAAACACTGCCCATACACCATTATACAGTAGCTGTACGTTAGAAAAACGTCAGATACGTTGATATGCATTGGAGATAAGTTCTTGATAAGTTACGCGTAAGTTATGCACACGTTACTCATAGGTTTTGGATAAGCTAGACGTCACAACTTATGAGTAACTAACACTTAATGTTTGTCAATAATCAGATAACTTACCTGTAACTTATGAGCATACGCTGGCATACGTCGGGAAACTTTGAGCATGCTGTATGCCGTGTGCCAGCGTGATCATAACTTAGAGCAAACTAACACATAACTTATCCAACATATGCCAGCGTTGTTGCAACACAGAGTAATATCATTTTATGAGACAAAATTATTATGAAACTGACATTGGAAACTGACCTTAGCATAGGATGTGAAACTTTTGGCTTTGGGTTGTTAGCTAACATGCTAGATGAGTATTTATTTTGGTACTAGAAATAAATGTAATTATTTTTGTTTAATGAAACAGTCTCTTCCCATTGTCATATAATTCAGTTTAAATAAAACATGGATTAGCCAAAACTTAATAACAGCATCGGTAAAAATACACCTCTGTGGTTTAATCTGAACATGTGGGGACAAAGAACTTGTCCCCTAACTAAGTCCAAAAATAGACAACTTGTTACCCAACTCAAGATGTTCTGATCCAAAATGTATATGTTCCTTCCGATTACTCCCAACTAAGAGCAGTTCAGCTCGGTTCTACTTCCTCTTTAGCAGCATTTAGATCTTATGTTCCACTTATCTGGAATAAACTCCCAGAAAACTGTCAGTTTCTTTAATTTGAAATAAAAAACATTAATTTAAAGGGGCCTTTGACTGTGCCATCTTAACATTATTAATGTTCCAGTCCAACCTTTTTTCTTTTTTTTTTTTTTTGGTCCTTTTTTATTAATTTGATCTTTTTTTTAATTATTCGTTTTTATATACAGTTTTCTTATTGTATTCATAATCTTTTATTCTCTTGCTTGCACTTCCAACTCTTCAGAGTCATTCTACAAACACGGCAGACTACTGTCTGTCACTGACAACTTATTGGAAGTAGGGCAACGTCAGTAGTCTGATATTTTGATAACTAGTATTTTAAACAATTTATAGATTTATTTATTATTTGTTCTCTTTTTACTTTTTACAGGGGTTATTGCGTATATAACCATAGTCATAGGAATCTCGCGTTACGTAGCTTTAGAAAAAAGGTGTATTGTTTTGCCTAAAGGAAGACGACCTTTCCAGTGAGGACCAGCACAGCATGGTACAATCCTGGTCACCTGCAGTTGGATTGAACTACAATTCTCTTTCCAGTGGCTGTGTGAAAGATGAATAGTGATTAGGTAATGAATCTAATTTTAGGGGTGCTCAATTCTTAAAAAAAAAAAAAGACTTGAAATTAAAATTCTTCATACAATTCTTTATGAACGGTAATTTATTCTTTTGTGCAAAAAGGGTGAAAAATCGTTCTTTAAACATGATTGAAATCATTTAAACAAAAGTCACTAAATTTAAATAAAATAGTTTAAAAGATATTTGAATTAAAGTACAAGGCATTCAAGTAATGCTATAATGGGTTTTTGTTTGAAAAAAAAAAAAGCTGCAATTGACCTGATAGATAAACAAATAAAAAGGAAAATATGCTGCATATATTGGACTAGAACTGTAACGTTGAGTTAAAAAAAACTGTCAACTACAAAGATTAAGTGAAACGTGCAAAAATAAGAAATAAGCTGGTTTGCTTTTGTGAACAAATGTAACGCTGCATTACATAAACACAAGTTTGAAGCAGAAGAGTGGGAATTGTCCAACATATTCACCATTAGCCTGAAACTTTGGTCAGTTGTGTTTATAGAGCACATACCTTCAGCAAGGTAATTGGCAGTAGAATAGGTAATCTTTTTGCGTCTCTGGTGTAAAGTAGGGATTCCCTGCGTAAAGGAATTCTGCCACAGAACTCTGTACTATTTCCTCACTAGTTTATCATAAATTATGTGGTGATTGCACTTTAAATTATTAAAAAGATTTGTTGTGTTGCCGGTCTGGGATGCCACAACAACAAAAAATGTTTTGCAAGCAACATGCCTCTGCTCATTGCCTCTGTCATTAAATCCAAGCTGATCCCACATGAGAGAGTTCGACCTCCCCATGTTTGTTAACCAGGCTTTTTTGTGATACTTCCGCCATTTCTTCAAAGCTAACTGCTAACATCACTCTTCATATGGGTCAACAAGCTAGCTTACGTTCAGAGGGCGGGGTCAATGTGTTCGCATTCACCAGTAGTTAAATTTTCCCTGATGTGACTCAGTAGAAGTTATCTCACTATCTTCCCATTACTGGCTACTTGTCTACTTCCTCTACAGCCTTCCCCTACTGTTTAGTCACAAATTAAATTTCCTATTCTACTTCACTGCTTCTGAAAGAACATAGTATACTACGTCTCTTCTTTTAGATGCTGTTGTTGAAATTACTTTTTGTTGCATCAAGCTGATTTGTTGGAAATAAACTTGGATGCTAAGAGTTATGTCCTTATTTCCTCACAGGCTGGGTTAAGGATTTGAAAGCCTTGGAAAAACACAATGTTATTGCAGAGTGCCTGAGTGTGCCTGCCTGCTCCGTTATCTGATCTAAAAGGATATCAGTGAAGAACACACATCACTGACTATATTTATACTAGCAGGCCCAACATGTTGAGGACAACTTCTGCCTTTAATAACCTTGCATTTAATATTTTCATCATTCTGGAGTCTGCATCTCACAGTTGAGTTTTCTGTGTTTAAACTGCCTGATCAAGCTGAAATAAAGGAGCTGACACATTGACACTCCTTAGGTCACACTGCTGCGAACATCAACGGCACCCCTCCTGGGAGAAAAGACGTTACTCGCTTGATTTCCACACACACACGCTTTTAAGACTTTAGGGTGTTTAGTATAAATGTCATGTGAGAAGTGGAGTGTGTCTGCAGAGGAGAGAAAACATTGATACATAGTGACAATATGAAATGACCTTGTCAGGGTTTGTCTTCTGATGTGGCAAAACATGTTTCAGTGTACGTGTCATTTCCTCCTCTGGGCTCCTCCAGCGCCTCTCTTTTCCTGCATGCCATCCCCTCATTATATGCTCTTTAGTATCTTCTGTCCGTCTGGTTTCCATATCTATGAAAATATAATACAACTCATTTGCATCTTTTTGTATAAAAATCAAATTATTGGTGTTTCTTTCAACGTTACTGACAATAAAGGCACCATTTTGCCTTCATGCCTGGATAGCTTTGTTGTAAATGAGGACCTGAATACAGATAATCGAACTGGGTGTCTTTCTGCCAGTTTGTGCCGAGGCGTTCAACCCAGACGACGACGATGAAGACACCGAGCCCAGAGTGGTTCACCCCAAAACAGACGAGCAGCGCTGCAGACTGCAGGAAGCCTGCCGAGACATCCTACTCTTCAAAACACTAGATCAGGTAAATTGTCTTGCAACATAGAGATTATGCATGTAAGGTAAAATTAAAATTAATGCAACTTCTAAGATGCTCATCAATCTTTAAGGTATCAGAAGGATGAATACTTTTAAAATGGCAATAATTACTGTGGATCAGAAATGTTAAAATAATCAGTCAAATCACATTAAGTTTCATTAAAGTAGAAACCAATAGTATTTATTTGGTTGTTGTAATAAAAATAAAGCTATTGGTGCTAATCTTGTAAGTTCTTTATTTCGTTTGTGTTTCCAATTTGGATTTAGACTTGTAACTTTTAACTAAAGACTGTGCGTTTTTCAAGTTTTAGTCCTTTGAAAAATAAATTAAAATATAAATTGGTTAATATTGTGGGAAAGAAAAACCTTTAACTGCCACTAAAAAACAGGTACATATCTAATTCAAAGAAGGTGTTCAAATAATTAAAAGTTTTATCTTTCCATTACCTTTTGGGAATGATCTTGCCACATTGGCTAAAAATATAAGTTTGTGTGAAGCTGAGTGACTAGTTCGAATTCCCCCCCTTCACCCCCCTGCTTCGTCTCACCATTGCTCACTCGCTAGAATATTAAAAACACCCTCTTGTCTACATTAAAACCCAATGCCCATGTGATATAAATTTGTTTTTTGTCAGTTTTGTTCTTTATATACATCATCTCTTACTTTCTGATTTTGCTTTGTTCACTCCAGGAGCAGTTTTCGCAGGTTCTGGACGCCATGTTTGAGTTGAAGGTTCAGCCACAGGAGCATGTCATCGATCAAGGGGACGACGGAGACAACTTTTACGTCATAGAGAGGTCGGACTAATTAGTAGTTTATGATGTCTCTATTTAAATTTAAAGACAAACTGCAGACCAGTAGTACTGTATATGTAGCCAGGGGGATGAGCTTTCACTGTCTTCATGCCCACAGCTGATTTAGATCTTAGCCACTAAGATGCTTAATCCAAAAGAAGGGGTTGGGTCACACCATGATGGAAAACGGTAGAGAGAAACATTCACTGTTAGCTGCAGTCTATTTCCATTCCATGTCCATTCCATTCCATTCATTATGTCTCTGCAATATTCAGCTACAATATTGGCTCCTAAAATATATAAAATAACTATGTCTCCAATAAAATAGGGCAGCCATAGTTTACAGCATAGATGCAATAATTGTTGCTCGATTTTTTTCTACTTTCTAGACGCTTTATTGATAGACTCGTGATATACTGGATCAGTTACACAAACTATCCACTGTAGAACCACTACAGTACCTTAGTCCTACAGTGCTCTAGTTGATACTAAGGTGTTGTAAACACATTTGTAGTTTTTTTTTTTTTATTAATCTCAGCATAATTTCTCTACATTTTAGGCCTATACTTTTTTGTCATCTGTTTGTTTTTTACTTGTACCTCTGCTGTACTAACTTGAAAAAGCTTTTTATAGTTTCTTTGTGTGGATATTGCTGCAGTGCATGTTTTACTGCTCTGATATTGCTGCTGTTTTATCATGTTTTATGATAGCAAAATGTAGGTGTTTTTCATTTTACTCTAATATATATTAGAGCTTCAAACCTGCCACTTAAGAAACTATGATAACCCGTGTTTTTGCTGGTGCGCAGCCTGTTTTCATACGCCTCTTTTCATTCTTGACATATCAGCTGAACACATTGTTATAGCTCCATTTGGGCACAATCTCCCACACCTACCAACACAGCATGCTCCCGCTGCTCATACAATACGAGCAATGACCTTTAAGAGTGGCACGCCTGCCTGATCATGTCCTGTCCCGGGGTTTTTCTCCTCCGCCAAAATAATCAGAGGTAGTTAATGCCATCAGCAGGGTAGGATGTGAACATTTACACACAGACAGACACAGAGGTTATAAATGGAGAAGTAGAATAAGATTGTTTCCTTAACAGTTTTATTCCATATTTAGTAAATGTTCTGCATTTACACGTTTCCCCCATACCCCTGGGTAGCTTTACTTGTCGCTGCTCTCAGTCTGGGTTCTTGCTCTGCCAGTGTGCTGCTGTTTGGCAGCATTTCAGTGAAGAATAAACAGTCTTCTAAGAGGCCCATAAAAGAGGAAGTAATGGAAAATCCTGTGCAAGCCCTCTGGGAGAAGCAGAGGGATCATTTGTAGGGGGCATGGACAATGTGATAAGATCATAGTAAAATACTATCAAGCAAGTTAATGTAGTTTACCTTAAGATTCCAGTTCAGAGCTCAGACCGTCAAAACAGCCTCTTTTTGTAGCACATTTCTTCTTGCCCTGGATGTTGGCATCTGTGTGAAATTCAAGCCTCAAGACATATCTGTAATGTAGTGGAGATTATTTTTATGCTTTATTATAGTAAATTACACCATAAATCAACAAAGCAGTGATTGAGTAGAGAGCAAATTCTTATCTTTGCAATTGTGATAAAGTGCTAAATGTTTAGGTAGACATCTGTTCCCTCAATGATCATCCTGATTGGTTACTGCTGCCTTCTCCTTTTCATTCAAGTATTTTTTTAAACTGTGGACATATTTATTATTAAGCACTACTTTCTCTGTATGAATGAATTAATAAATAGGGATTTATTTCAGACAATTTGACAAACAACAATAACTGAATCAACCAAATACACACAAGAGACTAGTTCACATCAACCAAACCAAACGCCAATTTCCAAACTAACTAAATTCACCTGAAAATAAATAGAAACAAAACCCTCCAACAAATAAACCTGTCTGTATATACAGCCAGAGAAATGACATTGATTAATGTAAATTGTCTGAAAAGGGGTATGAAGAAGTAAAACTTATTTTTCATACGTCCTTTCCCTCTAATTGCACTTAGATTTGTGTAATTAAAAGGTGATAAACAATTCATGCAGGGGCAGATACATGGTCCTCTCTGCTTCAACTGAGAATGCAAGCGATCACTGTCCCCTTTGTTACTGTAATCCAAACTAAGCTAATACTCCAACAGCAACAAGGGTTTTAACCCTCTGCACAACCAATGAGAGGACAGGCCATCTCACAAAATAATCCTGCCAAGCAACATGAATGCAAATTATCTTTCTCAGTATAATCCCCACACAGGTAGATAGAAGAGGGGATAACCGAGCCGCTCTGTTGAAATGTTTTACCCCATTAGCAAAGTATTTACACTCATGGCCTAATTTCTCTGTGAACGGCGCTTAAATTTAGTTTTTTTTTTGTAAGAAATTAAGCTTTATTAACAAAACATAGCAGCTTTTGTTCTGAACATTTATAATTTAACTCAAAAGGATTCATAAGCTTTGCAGAATTAAAAAATAGTTCTTTTTAGCCATGCAGTTTTTTATACCGTACGAAATGTTTTATTATTATTTTATACTTATTTTAATAAATAAAATAGCTTTTCACAAAATCTGTTAACTCTTTATTAGCTATACAATAATCAACCTCTGCTTCTAATAGCTGACCAGCTTTTTGGAAGTTTCCGCTGGTCTTTCAGGTTGGGTTAGAGGGTCTGTTTGCCATTACCCTTATGGTTTGGTCAGCATTAAACTTTTCATATTGAAGTCTGACATGATTAATCCCCAGTACCTTGATGGGATAGGATGAAGCTTATGATGACTGCTCTGAGTAAATAAACTGGTTCTATGCAGCTGCTGTATATAAAAAGTACATTTTCAGTGTTTAAAAGGTAATAAGAGGCATGTTTATCTGACCTTTTTGTTTCTTTTTCCTTCTTTTGTTTTTACTCTCCATCTCTGTAGGGGTGTGTATGATATTGTGGTAACTGGAAAATGTGTGGGGCAGTACAACAATAAGGGCAGCTTCGGAGAGCTGGCGCTCATGTACAACACGCCACGAGCCGCCACCATCATAGCCACCCAGGAGGGCTCGCTTTGGGGCCTGGTAAGAAAACAAATACCAGCTACATTTTAAATACAATTGTCTGTGCACATTGAGGGCATTTTCTAAGCTAATTTAATGTCTCTTTGAAAAATTACATGTTATGATTAAAATATTTTTTTTTGCTTTTCTTGCTTTGAGCATGTTCCCTCCTTCCATGAGCTGCTATGGCTGGCTCTTTGATGCTCAGACATGTTAAGAATGGAGTCATGTAATCTGTGAATGGAGCCATGCTTTAGTTTGGTATTGAATGCTGCTGCAGCTCCTCCTGGTGGTTAAACTCAGAGACAACAGCCAGAACTAAGGCATGAGCTGCAACTACATGCTTGGTTCTCTCTAACTTTGTGGGATTTATTCCTTAGGACCGTGCCACATTTCGTAGACTCATCGTTAAGGAAAATGCAAAGAAGAGGAGGATGTACGAGACTTTCATCGAGTCTGTGCCGTTGCTCAAATCACTGGAAGTAAGTTTGGCAAGAGGAAACCACTGCTTATCCGTGTTAGAATTTAAAATTAATTAACCTTAAGCACAAAGAAATTAAATAAACACAATTCAAACCTTAATATTTTCTGTAGATGTAATGTGAAGAATATTCAAAAATCCTATTTAATAATCAAAAGATGTGCCTTTAGACCAGGGATGGAAGAATATGATCCTGAAGGGTAAATTGTGTTGTACTCTTTGTTTTGCAAAAAAAAAAAAAAAGGTAAAATTTGAAAATGCACAATAAAGTCTAAGATTAGATTTGGTGCAAAAAAACATTTTCAGTAATAAGTGTCCAAAAATAAGGATGGTCTTATTATTTATTGTTTATTGTGTAGAATAACACCTGCAGAACTTTACACAGTAGGAAACGTTCAGTGTTTTATTTTGTTAATAAAAGCTGTTTTTTAAATTTATATATATATATATAATATAATTTCAGATAACTGTTAGCAGGATTTTCATTCAGCGAATGAACCAGTGACGTTTAATCACAGATTGATTGAGCTGAAGAGTTGACCATTGTATCAGACTGAGTGGTCAGAGAGACGATCCTATCCTCTTGTTTCTAAAATTCCTGCTTTGATTTTTCTTTCCAGGCAACAGAGAGGATGAAGATAGTGGATGTATTAGGAGTGAAGCAGTTCTCTGACGGAGAGCGCATCATCACACAGGTGAGACGCTGCCCTTTTCCTCAGTTTTTAGCTTCAACTGGATGTTTGTTTCATTTTTCAAATACTTTTCTTTTTGTTTTTAGGGAGACAAGGCTGACTGCTTCTACATCGTAGAATCTGGAGAAGTCAAAATCATGATGAAGAGCAAAGTAAGCTGGAGATCCTCAACATTTTCATTTTTAAGCGCTGTAGAAACGGTACTAGAGCCGATTGCAGGGTTTTGTTAACCAGTTTCTAGTGGGCACAGTGGGTGATGACAGCCTACTCACTCAATTAGAATCCAGCCGACAGCAGGAGGGCTTCCAGGTCCTGCCTAGCAACAGCAGGGAGTCCTCCACAGCCTCTCAGTGAAACTCACTGAGCCCAGAATGGAGGCACTCAGGGGCTTCTAACCTTTGAATCCTCTTCTCTGCTCATCTTCCTCCCTGCAGACAAAGGCAGACCATGCAGACAACGCGGAGGTGGAGATAGCACGCTGTAGCAGGGGCCAGTACTTTGGGGAGCTGGCCTTGGTCACCAATAAGCCCCGGGCTGCCTCAGCCTACGCAGAAGGAGACGTCAAGTGTTTGGGTAAGACAACATTTTTTTTTAAACAACTCGTAAGCATTAGTGCCAGTCCTGGACCCTCACAATGAAAAGAGAGGTGTGGGTGTGAAGTTAAGAAAATCAATGATCAGCATCTAAAAATGGAAAGTTAGATTGCCTTACAGAATATTTTGTTTCCTTCCTTCATTATTTGTTGGTAAATAATTACATTTGATATTCAATTCTAGAGGTGAAAGGTCAAAATCTCATAACTTCAGCAACACATGTTGATTTCCCCCTGATTGAACAGTTTAAAGTAGGGCTGAATGATAAATTGCATTTCTCAATAATATATAGAAAGGTTCTCTAACAGCAAAGGCGGTGATTGTACGTACATGTGAAGGGGGATGACCCGCTAGCAAAGGAACACGGAGGGAAAGTCGGTACTCACCTGTGTGTAACCTGTTGAATAATGGCCTCAGGCGAGACAAAAACTGACACAACTGAAGGTCTTGTAGCAAACAGGAGCAGAACGTCACTTTAATGGAATTATTTTGGGTTTATTTGGGTTTATGATGCTGTGCAACGTCAGGTGTTGTGCAGGACACGTCTTGTTACAGTTGCTACTTCATGAGGTAAAACGACAAACCTTAATCAACACTTAAAAAGGAAAAAAAAAAAAACAAAGCAGATAATTCAGCTGTGCTGTCGCAATATAGTTTGTTAATCTGTTGCATCTCCCTGCCTCCTGCTGCTGTTAGAGATTAACAGAGTGTAACCCAGGAGAACATCTTATGCTTTCTATCTTAGATGTTAGACTAAAGGTAACATTGTTTAATTAAATAACAGCTTCTCCCCTGATCCAAGTTACTTCTGGACTTTATTTGGGCTGCGTTGAAAAAAATACTGTTTATAAGAAAATCAAGGAGCTACAATTGTTGGTAATATGCTCCTTAACTTCTCCAAATTAGACACTTATTCCTCTTTCCCAGACTTTTATGAAAGGTCTGAGGACAGATGGTCATAACATTAAGTTGATCTCTGTCTAAACCATTTTTATTGGTTTTCTTTCTGCACTGTAGACTCTTTTGTCAACTTATATTTAGTTTTCTAGTAGAGAGCATTAGATATTCTTTATGTACTGATATTTTAGAGTCTATCATGCCTCTCAAACATTTGTGGAGAAAAATGTCCAGGAAACCATGTTTGAAATGTTTGGCCCTTCATCCTGCAGTGGAAAACTCCTCATGTGGAGAAAAAAACCATTCTGATGGAAATATTTGTACCTTTTTAATAAAATCATAAAAGCTCTTATCAAAGTAGCTGTGTCCAGTTAAATGAAGCCTGTTTGCAAACAGAATCAACAGATCTAAAACAAATGGCCTCTGCTTTAAGTGGTTTTCTGACAGCAACAAAAGCTGCAAACAGAATTTAAAACAGATAGCAGAATATTAATAAGAACTAGAAGCTTTTTGGAGGCATGAAGCGCTCTGTATGTGTTGCAGTTCAGTCCTTGGGGCAACTGAAGTGAAAGTCATTTCCCTTCTCCTTCTTTCTGTGCAGTAATAGACGTGCAGGCGTTTGAGCGCCTCCTGGGCTCCTGTAAGGAGATCATGAAGAGGAACATCGCCCACTATGAGGAGCAGCTGGTGGCTCTGTTCGGCTCCAGCATGGACCTCAGAGACTGAGCCTCCCACTCCACCCTCCGTGCCTTCTTTTACAAACACACACACACACACATAACATTAGGAAGTGGTTAAATGGACTTCTAAGCTTTACACATGGTGCAAAAGCATGGGAAAGCATCCTTTGTCCTCAGTTTTCAAACACTCTACCCTCTCTCAACCCCAAACACATCTGAGAGGGACACACACTCCAAAATATGTGCCCTGATCTGGAGCATATCCTAGCTGAACATATTCCCTGATGATCTGACTTAGATGCACAGATCCCGCTACAGGCCATCCAGGTCACGGCTTGAGTCAGTCTTAGCCTCTCAGAATGAATGTCTTACCTGCGGTGACCTTATGCAGGCAGGGCATTGCAAGGACATCATCCACACACACTCCAAACACCTTTAGACTCTCACCGTGATGCTTCATGCGCGCAGGCTTTCCATTCACATGAGCACCTGAACAACTCTGTTGTTCCAAGCGTCAGCCAAGGACACATCAAAAGACAGGCACATGTGGTGACAGGTACAGATGCTCAAACACACCCACACACACCATGGAGATGAAAATCTTTAAAAAAAAAATCTTTGAAATGGAAGACAAATCCAAAAATGCAAAAAAAAAAAAAACAAAAAAAAAGAAGAAAGTTTAAAGACAGATACGTTTTAGAAACATTTTATGAAAATAAAAACAGAAACTTTGATAAAATATTATTTAAATAAAAGTGTTTCCTCTTTGGGAGGCTGGGGTGCAGAACTTTGTGAGCGCACTCCGTTTTCTTCCTCTGCTGTCGTTGATTATCGAGTTGACTTAGTGCTGGTGATTGGTGCAGTACCGCGAGGAAGCAGTGAAAACAAACCTACACCTTCTGGGCCATTGTTATTCTGTCAGACGCCACACTTCATTGTATTGAATTAATTATTAATGTATTGTTATTATATATTCTTTTTTTTTTTGTTTGTTTGTTTTATGTTAAGTTCCGGATAAGAATTCACCATTCATCTGACAAAATGTAAAAAGAGAAAAAAAAAATCCAATAAAATATATTAGTGCTTAATTCTTCTTGATTATTCTTGAATGAGTTGTCCTGGATTAAATGAAAAGCTGAAAAATAAACGTTTTGGTAACACTTGTGCGTCTTTTTGCTTTCTGCTAAAACACAAGATCTTAAGTGCTGCTTATAAAAGGAAAACAATTTCACAGAAACTTGTTGAATCTGTTTTTTTTTTTTTATTATTATTTTTTTATTTTGTTGAAAATATCCAACTTTGGACATTTCAGCTTTATTTCCAGCTGAACGTAATCATTAGGATTCTCAAGAGGCCGAATCCAAAAGAACAAAATGTTTTTTTAGGGATTCCATGGCTTCTCTTTCAAGTAATTGTTTACAAACTGATGAGATGGTCTAGTGTCTATAAGGTATATAAAAAAAAAAGTGTGAAAATTACACTACTAAATGGTTATGAAAGTGTTTTTTATTTTTTTAGTATACTTGAGGCTTGCTGAAGAAAATTCAGGTTTAGTCCGAGAACGTTCAGATTTCATTCCCACTTTGGATAACACATCTGTAACAGACAAAAGACGGACAAAATGGAGCAAAAACCAAAATTATTTAGGGACTTTTGTTCCAACATTTGATTCAATATGCTCTAAAGAAAACAATACGTTCAAACATATTTTAGCCAATATATCGGAGGAAACTTAAGATGCATATGAACAAAATGGTCAGCCATATTTGTTGACATCCCTGGTAAAGATTTGTAAAGTTCTGCACTTGCAGTTCCATGCTCTGAAATGCTCTTTACACATATAACTTTTTTTTTTTTTTTTTTTAAACCTGTACATTAATCTGTTAAAGGTGTCCATCAGCAAATTGGCTGTTTGCCGTTTTGACTGTAACCATATGTGGTGCAGTGTTGTTACCCCAAACGATCCATTTGAGATGAATATAACAGGCATGTTCTGAAGCGTTTTTCACTTTAAAGTACTTTTTATTTAAGTTTTGCAGTCAGTATTTGTCCTGGCCTCCCTTCATTTTTATTATCACTTCAATGTGG